AGAACTTCAAATAGAAATCAAGAATAATAAGGATGAATCAGATAACAAACTGTATCAAATTAATTATACAAATTGAATTTTAGAAGATATGAATTCATTTTACAAACTGAAGATAAAAGCTCTTGAGGATAATAAGATACCCCCAAGACTTGAATATTTCACGAATCCTATTTTGTATCCTAAATTTATGCAATCCCTGAATAAACAGATGAATAGTAGAAGACTTAGGAATCCATTTTCATGAGTCAAATGTAATAATTGTGGATTATTTGAACATATAGCTCACACATATACTTTGAAGAAGAAAACTTATTTGGTGTGGAGACCTAAGATGCATAAAGCTAGACATATCATACATGCATCTGTTTATAACTTGCAAAAAGGTGAACCAAAACTTGTTTGGGTTCCCAGGTCTAATGTTTGATATTTTTGCAGGATCGCTTTCATACAAGGTCTCGTGAGAGTATGTGGTATCTAGACAGCGGTTGCTCAAAGCATATGACTGGAGATACTGCACAATTTATATCGCTGGAAGCTAGAAGTGGAGGCAAGGTTACACTTAGAGATAACACCACAAGGAATGTGGTTGAGTCAGGTATGATTGGAAATCTTAAAAACTTTTTTATTGAGAATGTTTTGTTGGTAGAAGGCTTAAAGTATAATATTCTAAGTATTAGTCAGCTATGTGATAAAAGTTATTGTGTAAAATTTTTTTCCTACAAGCTGCATATTAAGCTTGAATGGTAATAATATTTTGAATGGTATAAGGGTAAATAACGTGTATATGCTAGACTTGAATTGTATTAAAACTCATACTATTTTTTGTTTAAAAACTATTTCTGATGTATCATGGCTTTGACATAGGAGACTTTGTCACTCTAGTATAAAAAGCCTTAGGAGGATTACAAACTTAGTGAGAGGTATATCAAAACTAGACTTTACTAAGGACCACATTTGTGATGTATGTCAATTAGGAAAATAGGTGAAGTCCTCCTTTCAATCCAATAAGATTCTTAGAACTAAAAAACTATTGGATATTTTATATGTGGATCTTTTTGGACCAGTTAGAACTGTAAGTATAGAATGGAAAGTATACATATTTATAATTGTGGATAATTACTCAAGGTTCACATGTGTTAGATTTCTATTTCATAAGAGTGAATCATTTGAGAAATTTAGAAACTTTTCGACTTGGATTGAAAGGAAGCTAGAATGTGAAATTATGACTATTCAAAGTAATCATGGAGGAGAATTTAAGAATGAAAAATTTGAGAATTTTTGTAAGGAGAAAGAAATTAATCACAATTTTTCTACACCTAGAACCCCTCAGCAGAATGGGGTAGTCGAAAGGAAAAATAGAACATTAATAGAAGTCTCTCGAGCCATGTTGGCAAAATATTCACTTCCTAAATATTTTTGGATTGAGGCAGTTAGCACTGCATGTTATGTTCTGATCAAGGTGAATGTAATATCAAACTTAAATAAAATACCCTATGAGTTGCTAAAAGAGTGGAGGAGTCAGAGAGTGATCTTTCACAACATGAGGATGAAGATGACATAGCACTGATGACTAGACAGTTCAGAAGCTTTCTAAAAAGGAAGCAAAAGAGACGTCAGCAATAGAATCGAGATAAATTTAATATAAATGTCAAGATTTTAAATGATGTTATTTGCTATGAGTGCAGAAAACCTAGACATATTAAATTCGACTGCCCAAAATTCAAAGCCACTACTAGGAAGGAGAATGTGGAGGAGAAACTAATTATGAAGAAAGGCAAGAAAAATTCCAAAGAGCTTTCTAGGCGGACTCACCTTCAAATTCGTTGGAGACTAAAAAGGAGGAGAAAATCATAAATCTGTACTTAATGACCGATAATCCTGATCAGTCAGATCTAGAAGAGGTATGTGACTTGAGTTATAATGAACTTTTAGAAGTCTCTAAATGCATACATGTTGTATATAGGAAATTAAAGAAATTACATGCTAGTCTGAATTTAGAATTACAAGATCTTCAAAAAGAACATGAAATCCTTAGAAAATATCATGCATTGATTGATAACAATCACATGAAATTACTTGATGAGTTTGATAGCTTGAATAAAAATCATGAAATGTTAAAATCATCCTTTGTAGAACTTCAAATAGAAATCAAGAATAATAAGGATGAATCATATAGCAAACTGTATCAAATTAATTATACAAATTGAATTTTAGAAGATATGAATTCATTTTATAAACTGAAGATAAAAGCTCTTGAGGATAATAAGATACCCCCAAGACTTGAAGATTTCACGAATTCTATTTTGTATCCTAAATTTATGCAATCCCTGAATAAACGAATGAATAGTAGAAGACTTAGGAATCCATTTCCAAGAGTCAAATGTAATAATTATGGATTATTTGGACATATATCTCACACACAGGGGCGGATCCAGCTTCTTTTTTTAGGGTGGGCAAAAAAAATTTTTTTGTGAGGGATGGGCAAAAATTCTTATGATTGGTAAAAGTAAGGCAAAAAAGATTTTTGAGGGGGGGCAAAATGCCCAAAATACTCAAAATATTTCAAAATCTCCCCTCTAAATATTAAAAAAGAATTTTTTGAGGGTGGGCATTTGCCCACCCTAAGCTATGGGTGGATCCGCCCATGCTCACACATGTACTTTGAAGAAGAAAACTTATTTGGTGTGGAGACCTAAGATGCATAAACCTAGACATATCATACATGCATCTGTTTATAACTTGCAAAAAGGTGAACTCAAACTTGTTTGGGTTCCCAGGTCTAATGTTTGATATTTTTACAGGATCGCTTTCATATAAGGCCTCGTGAGAGCATGTGGTACCTGGAAAGCGGTTGCTCAAAGCATATGACTGGATATACTGCATAATTCATATCGCTGGAAGCTAGAAGTGGAGGCAAGGTTACACTTAGAGATAACACCACAGTGAATGTGGTTGGATCAGGTATGATTGGAAATCTTAAAAACTTTTTTATTGAGAATATTTTGTTGGTAGAAGGCTTAAAGTATAATATTCTAAGTATTAGTAAGCTATGTGATAAAAGTTATTATGTAAAATTTTTTCCTACAAGCTGCATATTAAGCCTGAATGGTAATAATATTTTGAATGGTATAAGGGTAAATAACGTGTATATGCTAGACTTGAATTGTATTAAAACTCATACTATTTTTTGTTTAAAAATTGTTTCTGATGAATCATGACTTTGACATAGGAGACTTTGTCACTCTAGTATAAAAAATCTTAGGAGGATTACAAACTTAGTGAGAGGTATATCAAAACTAGACTTTACTAAGGATCACCTTTGTGATGTATGTCAATTAGGAAAACAGGTGAAGTCCTCCTTTTAATCCAATAAGGATCTTATAACTAACAAACCATTGGATATTTTACATATGGATCTTTTTGGATCAGTTAGAACTGTAAGTCTAGAATGGAAAGTATACATATTTATGATTGTGGATAATTACTCAAGGTTCACATATGTTAGATTTCTATTTCATAAGAGTGAATCATTTGAGAAATTTAAAAACTTTTCGACTTGGATTCAAAGGAAGCTAGAATGTGAAATTATGACTATTCAAAGTAATCATGGAGGAGAATTTGAGAATGAAAAATTTGAGAATTTTTGCAAGAAGAAAAAAATTAATCACAATTTTTCTGCACCTAGAACCCCTCAGCAGAATGGGGTAGTCGAAAGGAAAAATAGAATATTAATAGAAGTCTCTCGAGCCATGTTGGCAAAATATTCACTTCCTAAATATTTTTGGATTGAGGCAGTTTGCACTGCATGTTATGTTCTAATCAGGGTGAATGTAATATCAAACTTAAATAAAATACCCTATGAGTTGCTAAAAGGAAGAACACCTAATTTATCACATTTATATATTTTTGGATGTAAGGTGTTTATTCATAACAATGAAAAATCTGTCTTAGAAAAATTTGATCTAAAATCAGATGAAGGAATTTTTATAGGATACTCAAGTGTTGGAAAATCTTATAGAGTACTCAATAAAAAAACTTTAGAAATTGAGGAGACCATACATGTTATATTTAATGAATCAGGAAGTTTGGAAGAGTCAATTGTTGAAGAGGATGAGATAGAAATAAACTCCCAAAAGATTGATAAAATAAATTTGGAGATTAAATCAAGTACAATTTTTTTTTTAATTTTTTACCAAAAAGTTGCTTTAAGAAGCAACTAGAAAGGCGTCCCAAACGAAGCCTTAATCTGATCCAAACAAAGCCTAAAGTTGATCAGATTAAGGCTTCGTTTGAGACGACATTCTTTCTGCTTCTTAAAACATTTTTTTAGTAGAAAATTTTTAATTTTTCAACTAGGAAGTTGATTTAAGAAGCAAAAAAAAAAAAGTGTCCCAAATGATAAGCTTCATTTGGAACAGCTTTCTTTCTACTTCTTAAAATATCTTTTTAATTAAAAAATTAAAAATTTTGCACAAAAAAATTGTTCTAAGAAGCAGAAAGAAAGCCGTCCAAAATGAAGCCTGAATCTTTATGCTGTAAATTAAAATACATGTGCTATAAAAACATTTGATGCCGCACAACACATTCATACTCATCAAAATTCTATTAATTTTTGTCAAAGCAACCATAAAATATCATAAAAAAATCAGTGAATCAAGAAAATTTGAAGTGAGAAAAACGAAAAGGTGAGTAAGAATTAATATCTATCTCTTTGTTTAAATGGTCAAAAAAAGATGATGAATTATTACATGCAGAGATCGAACATAAGAGAATCATCCGGGTTGTCTCTGTAAACAATAAAAGCGTACGCTTTGACTGTTCACAAAGACAAATCCAAACTGTTCTTTATGCCCGATCTCAACACGTATTAATCTCTCCAAAATGGATAGTGCAAAGGCTATTAAATTATTGTATGCATTAAATCAAGATAGAATTAATTTATGAATAATTTTGATCTTTCTAATTCTACTTTTTAAATATGTTCATTACATTCAAAAAGACAAAAAAGCAAACGCTTACCATGAAGCCACCATTGACTATCCTCCCTTGCCTGATCATAAAAGTAAGATGGCTTCAAGTTCCATAGAGATCGAAGCAAAGCAGAATCTATAATCTCCTTTCAATTCAGTCTATGGAAGGCGGGAGCCTTCACATCTTGATGCTGCCATGGCTCGCCTTTGGCCATCTTCTACCCTTTCTTGAGTTCTCCAAATCCCTTGCCCGAAAGGGCCACCGCATCTCTTTCCTCACCACCGCAAGGAACGTAGCGAGACTCCCCGCCATCCCCGCACCTCTCACCCCCTTCATCAACTTCATAGAAATTACTCTCCCTCAAATCGAACACTTGCCGGAGAACGCCACGGCGACAATAGATCTCCCTTCCGATGATCTCCGTCCATATCTAAGAAAAGCCTTTGACACTTTGGACCAAAAGCTCTCAGATTTGATCCAAAACAAGGAAATCTCATCTCTGGATACCATCGTTTATGACTACGCCGCCCACTGGGTTCCACAGATCGCGGCTAAGTTTGGAGTCCCCTGCGCGTTCTTCGCCGTCTTTATGGCCTCATCCTTATCCTTTTTCGGCCCGCCGTCGGCACTATTGGGCGGCGCAGGTGCTCGGACGAAAGAAGAGGATTTCACCAAGTTGCCTGCCTGGATTCCTTTCCCTTCCACCGCCGTCTACCGCCCTTTTGAATCTCGCGAGCTCTTCAAACCAGGATGCATTCCAGATGCATCTGGTGTATCTGAAACTTATCGGTTTGGAATATCAATACAGGGATGTCAAATCGTGCTCATCCGCAGCTGCAAGGAGTTGGAGCCCGAATGGTTGCAGCTTCTCGGCCAGCTTTATGAGAAGCCAATCATTCCTGTAGGACTTCTACCACCCTCAATTGAACAAGGATGGCACGCGGCGCTTGATTGGCTGGACAAGCAAGAACAGGGGTCGACTGTGTATGTTGCCTTCGGAAGTGAAGTGAAGCTAAATGCCGCGCAGGTACAAGAGATCGCCGTCGGACTGGAACTGAGCGAGCTTCCTTTCGTCTGGGCATTGAGGGCTGGGTCGGTCCCCGCCGGGCTGGTGGAGAGCATACAGGACGGTGGCCACGGGCTGGTTTGCACGGACTGGGTTCCTCAAGTTCGCATCTTGGCTCACGCTTCCATCGGAGGTTTCTTGACGCACGGCGGCTGGAACTCTATTGTGGAGGGGTTGGCGTTTGGACGGGCGATGGTAGTGCTGCCAATGATATTCGAGCAGGGGCTCAATGCGAGGAATCTGGTGGAGAAGGGATGCGCCGTCGAGGTGCCGAGGAAGGAGGATGGGTCGTTCACGGGTGATGGGATTGCGAAGAGCCTGAGGTTAGCGATGTTGGAAGACGAAGGTGAAGAATTGAGAACAAAGGCGAAGCAGTGGACGAACGTGTTCGGCAATGAGGAACTAAATGACTTGTATGTGAGTGAATCAATTGAACACATGAGGCGAAGCAGACTTGGCGGCTTAGAGCATTCAACAAAATAATCAAATCTTTTGTTGATTAATCAAATGCTTGATGTTTAACAAGAACCATCGAAGAGGTTTGTATGCTGTTACTAATCTTTATTTCTAATTAAGAGTAAATCACTCTCATTAGCTTAATCATCTACTAAACATCATTAGTTGTATAGTTCTAATTAAGTGTTGTAGAGGTTCATCATCCAAAACTAGTTCTATGAGAAGACTAGCTGGCTTAAGAGCTTTGAGATATCCGACGTTCTGAGACCAATCAGAATGTGTCACGTCAACGATATCGAGCATAGTGATGACGTGATGCATTCTAGTTGGTTTCCAGACAGCGTTCTACATCCGCACATAATAATTAATCCTTCTTTCCCTTCCAATGAGTGTTCGGACCTCTGCATGTGACATATTAATCTATAGAGGATGACTATATAAGATCATCTTCAACGGAAAAATTCAGTTTTCACTCCAAAATATAGTAATACTTCAAAATATAATAATTTATCTCCAACCGAACTCTATTTCTTAAAAAAAAAAAGAATATTTTGTGTATATTCTTTCTCAACAACACGCGCTAGCCTTTCTCCCATCCACTTCCTTTGTTTCCGCCAAAAATGCATTTGTGAACAGTATGGCGCCACGTACTCTTCACGAATGACATAATGACATGCCTTTTGCCGTTCGATTGGAAAAGTTCGCAGACACCAAGCAGGGATATGGAGTTCAGTTGGAGATGCCCTAAGTATTAAAGAGTGTGGAGTGATAATTTTGATGGATGAAATATTGTGTTGAATATCTAACTTAAAGGTATCCCTTACTACTTACCAAAGAAGTATAATCAATGAAGGCTACCAAGTAGTTCACTAAGCATGAAAAAAATTAACCAACAAGCTCTTATTTCAAGAGCAAGAGACAAAACTCTTATTTCAAGAGCAAGAGACTCACATTTACTTAAAATTTCATCAATCCCTTTATTCTTTGATATCATCACATTTATAAAGTCTTATATCCCTAATACTTCTAAAATTAACCAAAGTGAGGGCGAAATTGGGGTCCGAAACGTTTGAATGGGTGCATGGTGGTTGAATCACCACTTGGCCAAGTGGTGCATCACTTTACTCTAAAGTCTAAAGAAGAGGAGAGTGGTCAACCACTCTTGACAGAGGGAAGTCCAAATAGAATGCAAATACCTTCAATTTTTCATGTAGATTAGACTTCGTTTGGGACGTTTTTTTTCTTCTTTTTAAATCAACTTTCTATTACAAAATTAAAAAACTTTGTATTAAAAAGATGTTTAAAGAAGGAGAAAGAAAGCTGTCCCAAACAAAGCTTACAACTATCTCCATATCTCAAAATTCAAAATTTTAAATAAAAAAACCTCAAATATTTAAATTTTGAAATTAAAATTTTAAAATCCATTAATATAAAATAAAACATTATAGCCCCAATACCTTAAAATTATAACCAAAACATCAAATAAACAAACAATAGTATATTTTCAGTTAAAGTTTATCTTTTGCTTGTGATATTGTGGTTAGGAGATGATCTTAGCTATGCTGAAATAAAGGTTTGAAGGCAAGTCTAAACATGCAAGAAATGATTTTATAGAAAGTGAAGATAACACAATCATGAATTATGAAAAAAGAAAATTATGAATAAAAATTATGCTTTATTCATGATTGAAATAAAATAATAATAATAAAAATTTCGTGGGTAATTCATTGAAGTTTTCATGCTAGAGAGCAATCTTGCCTCGTAGAAAAAATCCTAAAACATTCTACATCATACAACCCAATCTTATTTTGTAATATAATGATATCATATAATTATAACTCTTGCATAGTAAGTACATGAAAAAATAAATTAATAAAATTAAATTATAGCTGATCATGTGCTCAAGGAACTTTAAAAATAAAATATTTTTATTAGCGATTCTATTGTGTAACGCGGTCTTAAATTAAGCCGTGGTAAGAAAGAGAGAATTTGGCCAAAATTCATCATGCATGGGACCATCCACTAAATCTTGGATTTGAATTTGGAAGTGCTTCCATAAAAGGCTTCATTTATATAGTTTCTCCATAATTCAAGCCTTGGTCTCATCCTCTTTTGAATTTTGAATTTTCATCTCTTTAATAAGCACTTTAAATTGAGGAGATGAAAGAGAAATGGTGCTTGGGCAAAAATCTTCATAATATCCATGCATGGAGATGCCATTTTAAGATAGCGGATGTGCCACCATTTGTGGAGAAGATAGGATGTCGTCCAAATTTCATTATGTAATGATTTTAAAGGCTTGTACCGTGGTATGAAGGGTTCCATAATGATTAGGAATGTTGGTAAACTTAGGATAATGATAATGACAATAAATAATGATGACATATCATGATCATAAGGTGATCAAATTCTCTATTTATTTTGAATAATTGCATGTTAATGTTATTATGATAATTTTTTTGCATTATAGTGCAACTATTGTTTGATTTTCCTTACCTTTAATATGGATCATCATAAAGTTTACCTTGATTAAGTTATTAGAGGATAAAAAAATATCTTCATTTGTTTCATATCACAATCCCTACGGGCTTAGCTTGTTACATTTTGAGGTTAGCTAAGCCATGTTGACCAAACAAGTCAAGGTTATAATGGTGTATCAAATATATTATTTTAAAACAACCATATTTACCTTAAATTACCAATTGTTAACCAAGTAAAAGAGCTAGATTGACTTACATCTTACTAAATCTATGATGGTTTAATCTTGGGATTGTTAAGCTTGTGGTGGTCTAGACCTCTCTAAAATTACTAGACTATTGTCTAATATTGACTCAAACTTGGCTAATCACTTATGCCTTGATTAATTTTAGTTAGTTTTAGGTTAGGCCAAAAATTTTTTTGTTAACATTAATGCATGTGATGTACTTTAATGAGTTCACCACCTATATTAGGGGCCCGTTTATTTGTCTCCTTTTATTTAAACTAGATATAGCCTAGTCACACCTCTGCTTGACCTAGCTATATAGCTAACTTTCAAACATAAATAACACTAACCTATACTCTCTTATATGTTTGGCCCTAAAGTTAGCCCTTATTTGAATTAAGTTACATCTTGATTCAATATCACCTAAAATATTTTTGGTAGATTCCATAGAATAATTGTCCATATTTGACTCTAATTAGAGTTCGGCTACTAATGGATTCTTTGTACCTCTCAGACCTTAAGTGAATATTTGCTATTGTGTCACTTAAAATATATTATATCCTATATGGCTTCTTAAATGATTGATTGACCTAAATATACATCATAGAGCTCGTGTTGTTAATAACTCATTTCTTGAATCCATGGACCCTTATTAGACACCATTGGACCCTTTTATGATCCCTTTGAGTTCCACATTACTCAACCCGAAGTTCCTAGACATATTGCCTACAACCCTTAAATAAAACTCAATAAGTGAAGTTAAACCCTAGAATAAATCCAATTAGCTAAACCTAGGATTAGAACCACTTAAAATCTTAATCAAAGTTAGTTATTCTAGTTGAACAAAAACCCAATACTTAAACTTTATGGACCTAAGTTCAACACAACCTAGAATAAGCTTAATATAGACTTAAATGAGCTCATCTTAGTTACTAAGACACTCATTAGGATATAGGGGACGCACTACACTCTATATTAGGTACCTAGCCAAGCCCTAGCTCAATTGACCCATTAATAACCTATTTGAACCCCTTTAACCTTTTTTAAACTAGATTCAATTTGCCCTTAGGACTCATTTATTAGACCCTGGACCATCCTTAGGTTATTTTATGCTCGAATTAATTCATTTGACAATAGAATGAACTAACGTGGAAAGCCCTTTTAACCAAGCTAATCTAGCTTAATTTTGATCCTAGTAGACCCATGATGTGTAATTGATCTCTTTCACCAAATTATAATTGAACATTAAGTTCTATATCCTAAAGGATTGAACTTTAGCACCCAGCCAAGCCCAATCTAACCCACCAAAACTAGAATTGAGCTTCACTTAAATCATTCAGATTAAACGGAACTAAAGGATTAAATTGACCAATTAAGATTGTAATGTCCCATGATTAAATTTGAATGAATAATTCTTTTTATCTTTTAAAGTAGACATCATAGCTATCTATTTCTCTTTTATCTGTAATAAAATCATATATCAACATAAATAAATTCTATTAGTCAAAATATCAATATGCATATACATTAATTGACCCAAAATCATATCCAATATAATTATAATGACTCATCGCTAGTCTTGAGTACAAAAGAATAACTAAAATACATTAAAAAAATAAACTAATAGTAAACCTAGAGAATCCTAATATGATCAATCTCACACATCTAGTCCTCTGCCCAAAACTAAAATTATTTAAACGCCATATAATGGGCTAAAATAACCCAACATATCACTAAAATCCTATAACCAAATTCAAAATACGACAAATAAGCATATGCATGTCGTCATTTAATTTTTAACAATAATAGTATATGGTCAGGAATTAATGCAAAAATAGTAAAACTCACATGTGATATTAGTAGAATCTATAAACAATAAGACAATACATTACATAAGCTAGTAAAGTATAATGTGAGAAAATCAATAAACCAATACGTATCTTGAATCAATAAAGTAATCGCTATATTAGTATTATAAATCAATAAAGTAATTGTATAAAACAGTGAAACTCAAATCAATATAGTAAAATATTATAATGATGTACACATACTATCTAGTTAGTCGATCTATATCAGTATTTTAATCATATGCTTGGTATAATTCTCAATCAGTATCATGTGAATTAATAAATGATAACACCAAATCATAATGTTTAAGGAAAAGCTTGTCTACCCATTATCATGTGCAGGCCAGTGAATCTTCAGTCAATGCCAGTGAAACCAATTTTTACTTATCCTTATATATATTATTATTAAAGTAGTATAAGAATAATAGTGACCAACTATTATTCAATCACATACATATTTTTATTCTCAAAGCTTGTATTCACAGTATGCTTAAATAAAAATACTCAATTTTTATACATTGTAAATAATTCAAAATTTAATAACTTTTATTTTGATGAAATTTATAAATATTGTAGTTAAAATATTCAAAATA